GTCATTTTGTTCACTCACTTTTTGCGACACGTGTTTCGCTTCTAAATGAGGCATATACAGGCAAATTATTAGATCACTACTTGAAGCCTAGTGTTAACTGTTTGGCATCCAAACTGCTAAAATTTTAACTTCTGGTAGTAATAGTGGTGGTCTGTCTTCGAGTGTTGGCAGTCACACACATACTAATGTTAGCGGAATTAAACAAAATCATTCAAACCTAATCAGTTACTCTCTTTAACCATAAGTGTAATAAATATTTATATTTGTATTATTGTTCAAGTGGTACAATAAATAATAAATAAATGAATAAAATAAATAAATAGTTAACAATATTAATACAATATGTAAAAATATTGCATTCCAAGCAAAAAAGCTTTTATTTTTTAACACTATCTCAACTTGGCACATTTGTCTGTACTAATATTATATTATAAAAAGGAAAGATTTGATAGTTCGTTTGTTTATTTACCAGAGGGAGACTTTGTACAAAAGTCGTTTGCTTTGGCAACTCTGTCCCATTCGTGTTTCTACCGTGAAGCAGTCGTGTTTGCACGACTGTATTTCGGTTTAAAAGATGGGATATGACAGTGAATTTGCAGGGTACAAAGGAACAACAACCGAGTCCTCAAGAATGGCTACGCATGGGAGGTGTCATGGGTGAAACAGTATACTCTGTTATGTCCATGGTACTGCTCATGTCTATTACCACTTTCCATCAGGTGGGCCGTCAGCTTGTTTGCCATTCTAAATTGCATAAAAAAAATTATAATAGACTTTAAAAACTAGTCAACAGATATTAAAAATTCTTTTACTTAAAGGAAGTTACGTATATTATTAATAAGCGACATAAGTTATATGTATATCATTTTCGAAAATTCTATTGACCCGTGTGAAGACAGGTTGAATTTCTAACTATTAATTTCACAAAAATAACCGAATTAAAATTTTATTCCTAATTTGTTCTAGGTAAAGAAACATCCTGTATATACACGGATATACCGCTATGTTTTATTCGTGTGCAAAAAAATCAAGTTCAGTGTAACAGAAGTACTGCGTACGTGTTGCTATGTAACATTGACTGATCGTGTGTCACGATCCTAAATTGCTGATCAGGGATGACGCATTTTGGTATTTTGACAATCGACTTGAAAAAAATCTAAAAAAAAAATAAACAAATACTAAATACTATATTAAATTACATTTTTTGCTAACATAATAGGATTGTAACTAGACGGTCCAATGAGACCGGGACATATGTGGTCCCAGCGTAGAATAGGTCACTTATTCCGTTATGGGTGTCGTAAAAGGCAACTAAGAGAACTTGATGGTCGATGGATGGGCAGCAACGTCACTCTTAAAACATCTCCAAGGCCTAGCTATGGTAGCCGGCGCATCTGCCAAGCGTGCTAACTCTTCCCATCCCCCCCCCTCAATAGAAGGAGTAAACGTGGCAACTACTGGCAAAATGTCCCCAGTAAACAAAAGCCAGTTCAGGTTCAGAAGTGGACAGTTACCAGCTGATATGGTAGACGATATTTAAGAGAAGATATTTAAGAGAAATTAATATGTGGGATTAATCATTAATTAATAAGATCTTAATAAGACAAATGGATACCAAAACAATATTTTAAAAAAATTTGTCTGTCTGCCTTTATGTATATAGCGTATTCCTTTTTAAAAGGCCACACACCTGCAATACTTCGAGGAGGGGGGGGGGATTGTTAATGACTATAGAAAGTGTATCGAAATAGGTTTAGTAATTTAATTTTAAGATAACTTTTTTACCAGAGGGAGACTTTGTACAAAAGTCGATTGCTTGGGTACCTCTGTCCCATTCGTGTTTCTACTGTGAAGCAGTTGTGTTTGCATGGCTGTGTTTCGGTTTGAAGGGTGGGATATGTCGTGAATTTACAGGGTGCAGAGAAATAACACCCGAGTCCTCAGGAATGGCAACGCAAGGGGGGCATCATGTGCGAAACAGTATACTCTGTTATGTCCATGGTTCTGCTCATGTCTATAGGCGACGGTTACCACTTTCCATCAGATGGGCCGTCAGCTTGTTTGCCATTCTAAGTCGTATAAAAAAAAAACAATTAACGTCGTTTTTTTTATAATCTTAATTATTACAATCCATGTCATTTTCGCCATGCCATTTACATCGCGTACCCAAAAACTTAATTATAATCTAATTCCACTTTAAAAGGCAGTATCTGCGCATGCGCAGGTCGCCTCCATAAGCGGCACAACAGACAATCTTGTTTGTGCAACACAAAGCAACAATCGATCATGGCAGTGTCGCGGCTAACGGTTGCTGGCATGCGCGCTGCGCGCACGCATTATTGATCGTGTTAATAAAGATCATTGATCTAACAGACTGTATCATTAGTGGCGCTATTAGATACATCATTGTGTGGGTGAACAGGTCTCGTTTGACGTGACAAGTGTTTTTTGTCCACGACACTTATAAAAAAATGTTTGTTTGAAATGTTATATTGGCCTAATCCAATTATCGGATTGAGGTTAATATTTTAATACGCAACTTTCAACATAAATATATCTCGTCAATAGTAAACGTGCCAGAGATTTAACAGCTATACCAACGGCGGTAACCTAAAGTGATATTGAACTGAATTAGTTAAATTTGTACGTGTTTTTTTTTTATAAAACTTAGAATGGCAAACAAGCTGACGACCCACCTAATGGAAAGTGGTAACCCTCGCCTATAGATATGAGCAATGCCATGGACATACAAGAGTATACTGTTTTGCCCATGATACCCCCATGCGTTGCCATTCCTGAGGACTCAGGTGTTATTCCTCTGTGTTCTGTAAATTCACACCATATCCCACCCTTCAAACTGAAACACAGCCATGCAAACAACTGCTTCACGGTTGAAACAGGAATAGGACAGGGGTGCCCAAGCAAACGACTTTTGTACAATGTTCTTATGTAGCTAGCTGCGTGTATATTAGCTAGCTATTGGTAGCTAGCTAATATACACGCATTAATGTCAATTTAGATGTTAAATTATATTTAATTATTTTACAAATAATTGGTCCTTTTTAAATGGATTTGCCTTGAAATAATTTTGATTTACATTGAATAAATGAACAACAATTTAAAATATTATGTTAATATATGTTAATCATATAAAAATGAATTTAAATCAGACTGATTATTTAGGTATACAGTATTTCTGTAAATCTGATAAATTATTTGCAAAATATGTGTGATTTGAACTGTTGGATCATCCCTTAGTCTTGATTTATTTTTTAAAGACATTTGACAGGTTCTCGTTTAAAAAGGCCGTAGTGACCATTTATTTATTTCTATTTTTCAATTCAATTTCGATTCTGAGCTCTGTTAAAGTATTTTTTTTATAATAAACTGTAATTATTTAATAATTAAAATTTTCTAATAATCCGTATCTTATTATTTCTGGCAAACAACCTAGACGGACGTATGTCGACCAAATAGGCGGCGTGCTGAAGAAGGGCCAAATTAAAAGTATCCATAACCGGCGAGCGTGTATGAAAAGATTGATGAATGTGGAAAAAGTGAAAGAGGTTTGTTTGAATCGAAGCATTTGGCGTTCCATTGTTTCTGCCTACCCTAATGGGAGACAAGCGTGACAGATATGTATGTATGTACAAGCTAAGGCGTCGGTTACCACTTTTCACCTGATGGGCCATCAGTAAAACAACAAGGAATAGTAACCGACGCCCGTAAACATGAATATATGGATATTACAAAATACACTATTATGCCCATGGTACCCCACATGGGTTGTCATTTTTAATGACCAAGTTGTTATGCTCTTATACTCTGTAATTTCATTGCCATATCCCAACCTTACAAACAGAGACGCAAACATGCGCTTTAACTGCTCTCCTAATATGACTATGTTTACATTTCTTTTTTTAATTGACTAGATCTTTATCTGGCCTTCTTTTAAACTTTATTATGGTGAACAAGCTAACGATAGCTCGACATGTTCTATACCATCTATAATGATGTTCATATTTATAGACGACGGCTACCACTTTCCATCAAGTGGATCGACAACTTTGTTAACTAAGTCTAATATTATAAAGTAGTAACTATCGTCTATAAATACACCATGACCATTACGGATAGACACGGAATAGATTTAGAATTTTAACGAAGTTTGAGGTTAAATCTGTACATGATGGAATCTTGGAACTTATCGTCTTTAGAAATATATCAGATAGAGACGTTAATGCAGAGGCGTCAAACAATTTTTTTTTATACAACTTAGAATGGCAAACAAGCGTCAGCTGGGGGGAAAGAGATTGTTAGTAATGGAGACTGAGAATCCCATTGCTAGCAATATACCCAACCAGGTCGACCTCCTCGCGGTTCTCCCTGGAAACTATCATGGTTAATTCCTGACGAATTCATCATGATGGGCTAACTGGCCTGTTTTCATTCTCATCTATCACCCTTCACTGGTCCTCCGCCAGCGTATCCCGTTAGCGCAGGCGGAGTTACCATACCATTTTCACCCATCAAAAAAAAAACAAGCGTCAGCTTGTTTGCCACCTGATGGAAAGTGGTAACCGTCGCCTATAGACATGAGCAGTACCATGGACATAACAGAGTATACTGTTTCGCCCATGATACCCCCCATGCGTTGCCATTCCTGAGGATTCAGGTGTTATTCCTCTGTACCCAGTAAATTCACGCCATATCCCACCCTTCAAACCGATACACAGCCATGCAAATACAACTGCTTCACGGTAGAAACACGAATGGGACAGAGGTACCCAAGCAATCGACTTTTGTACAAAATCTCTCTCTGGTGATGGTGTGGATATTTCAATTATTCGAGAATAATTGAAATATCTACAAACAATTAAGTTATAAACCAAGTGAACAAAACTAACAGAGAAGAAAAAACTACGTTTCTAGGAGTAGCTTCCAGAACAATCGTTTCAGAAGTTATAAATGTACATCGTAACATTATAATAGCTACTTACCAACCAACACAATCGACGCTGTCACTAATAATTGTGTCTTGAACTCCATCGTGCACAATTTTTCAATTTAACACTAAAAGTCTTATTTGAATTCACTTAAATTAACTTATAGCACTATAAAGTCGATTCAGTCGTTCATGTTGTTAACATAGTATCTGAAACAAAGAAAAAAACAATTAAAACTTGAAAAACTCGCGAGAGAGACAAAGTTATAAATTGAAAATTTTTAAATCTTAAAATAAATCTTTAAAGTTTTCCAACTAAAATTGTATTTAAAATGTGAAAGCACTAATTTAAGTAAACAAATTATTTGAATGCAATCTCGATACTCTAACTGTAATATTTAACCAGATGTATTCGACGCTGTGTGGTCCATAAAATGAGCCACACTTCCTTTCCCATAGCTATCGTAAAAGGTGATCAAGAGGACTTAATGGTCGAGAAATGGGTAGCAGTGTCCATCTTAAAACATCACCGAAGAGTAACTGTGGTTGCCAATCCAATGCCGGTTACCAAACGTGGCAACTACTGACAAAATTATTATTATATATTCTTTATTGCACTAAAACATACAGTAACAACAATAAGTTTTACCAGAGGGAGATTTTGTACAAAAGTCGATTGCTTGGGTACCTCTGTCCCATTCGTGTTTCAACCGTGAAGCAGTTGTGTTTGCATGGCTGTGTTTCGGTTTGAAGGGTGGGATATGGCGTGATTTACTGAGTACAGAGGAATAACACCTGAATCCTCAGGAATGGCAACGCATGGGGGGTAACATGGGCGAAACAGTATACTCTGTTATGTCCATGGTACTGCTCATGTCTATAGGCGACGGTTACCACTTTCCATCAGGTGGGCCGTCAGCTTGTTTGCCATTCTAAGTTGTATAAAAAAAAAAAAAGTTAATAACAATGTTAACTTATCTCTAAAAGAGATTTCTTCTAGTCAACCTAACACAGTGGCATAGGAAGTAGTGAGTGGGAAAATTTTCTATATTCTGCAGCGGCTAATATGGTATGACATATATATCTTTCGAACTAGCTTTTACTTTCGACCTCTGCAGCCCTGAAATAGGTCCATCGATTTCGAAACTCTTATGGCAGACACTTATAATCTTCTTTACATTTAAAATTATTTTTCTCAAAATTCTTAGATAATATTTAATAATCTATCTCGAATAATATTTCTATGGATGTAGAAACATAGTAGTGAAAATTCTGTTTTGCTGATGCGCCTACGTTCTCAAATATTCTTTTGTCCTGCCCTCACATGGAATTTGGGCATTAAAGTTTGTAGACGTCGTACAAATCTTTTACTCAATGGTAATTACACATTAGCAGTCACTTCAGAAATCAACTGTAAGCTTGTCAACACTAATGGTCGCTCATTAGTATACAAACCGTGTCTAGCTAGTACTTTCTCCTACCGGTTTCCCTTTTCATCGTTTACCTTTTTCTCAGTAAACTATACTACTTACAATCTTACAACATGACTTAGGTTAATAAATTCATTCTCATCATGTATTTACGATCTTTTAAATGGCTTACAATAAATATTATTTTCATTTATAAATTTTGATTAGATTATGATTATTTTTTGCTTTTGATAGAATTTATTTTCTTGTTAGAAAGATACTCTTTATTGTTTCCTCCAAAAGTTTACAATAGTAAACTTATTATAAATATAAATAATTACAAGAAATAATTACAGTAAGAAAACAATAGGCGACCTTATCGCTAAAAGCGATCTCTTCCAGGCAACCTTTAGATGGAGAGGAGTAATTATAAACAATTTGTTGGGAGGCACGATGAAACATTCTGTTACTTCTAAATATGTGTGTTCGATATTAATTTTATTATGATTGAAATATCGGTTTTAACAATGATAATTCTTGATTATTACATGACTATATCTTGCTCCGTTCTTATTCCTTTCTTTCCAGATTAAAATTTAATGTAATTATCGCTTTCAATCAGGTTGTCTGCAAGTTTTTTTTATCGTCCAATTGCTGAATTGTTAAAATATAAAATAAAAATTGATCCACTTAATTCTCAGGTTGGAAAGATGTTAAAACCTGATTCGATAACGAATTTCGTTTATATAAAACATAGGGAGCAAACGAACATCAGAGAAATTGCAAGTGTTAAGACGGTATTTTAAGAAGAAATATGCTCTTTTCTTAAAAATTTCAATGTATCTATTCGATTCTGTATCTATTTATTAATTAACTGTCTAAGGCAAGTATTTATGAATAAATATCATATATGTTGTATTCTGTTTTGATTGAAAAGTAGTTAAAAATTTATATTTAAACTTACACACATTGGTCTCATTGAATTACTTGAAACAGTTATTTATATATCTAGTACTGTATTCAAGGCAATGGCGCCAATTCTGAAGCATCAATTTAAACTAACTACTAAACTTGTCTCTTAACCTAATATTATAATTTCATCGTTTTATAGATCATCATAAACTAAATTTATATTATAATAGTCTTGGTTTAAATATATTAAGAATTTAATTTATGTTGATGCTGATATCAACCGTTGCTGTCCACTGTTGAACATAGACTTCCCTCTTAAAGGCAGTATTGATAATAGTTATCACGCTTGGCAGGCGGTTTGGCAACCGCAGCTAAGCTTTGGTAATGTTCTAAGAGGTACGCTGCTGCCAATGTCAATAGACACATTTAAAAACTATTTTTTTGTAAATACATATATTATAATCATCATCTTCATATCAACCATCGGTCGGTCGGTCGGTCGGTCGTCCTCCGTGGTGGCCAACACGCCTGCCTGCGACGTGGAGGCCCCGGGTTCGATCCCCGGCCAGGTCATGATGGAAAACGATTTTTTCCTGATTGGCCTGGGTCTTGGATGTTTATCTATATATGTATCTATTATAAATATATTATCGTTGAGTTAGTATCCCATAACACAAGTCTCGAACTTACTTTGGGGCTAGCTCAATCTGTGTGATTTGTCCGTATATATTTATATTTATTTATTTATAACCATAAATTGTTCACTACTGAACATAGGCAGTTAGGTTTTGGTGATGTTTAAAAAGGGACACTGCTGCCCATTCCTCGACCATTAATCAATTAGTTGCCTTTTATGAAACCACGAACGGAGGGAGAGGCCCATTTTGCTGGAACCACACAGTTCTCTTATTCGACAATTTATTTCGGTCCTTAAAGATTTCGTTGTAACATCAATATGAAAATGTAATTTTAAAAATAGGTTTAGAGAAACGATACCGCAGACTTGAATCAATGGCAACAGTCGACAAATTTGACAATCGCGTTAGAGATAATAGACGTGAGAATATTTGTTTTTAATTTTCATTTTAACCTGTTACTGAGTATTTGTTCTTCGTGTAATAAATTTTATATGCATAATTTTAAGCAATATTATATATCTAAAATCTACATTCGAAAATTAGTATCTTGTACTAACAGTATCCTCTCTGACCTCCAGATACATCAACTGGTTCTGTTTAAAATACTTAAAACCTAACCCCGGCAGTAAGCAGTTAACTTGGATGTTTTCACCGCCCCACATCGATAGCAATGCTTTCATCTTGATAAATCTATGTCCTTTACCTCTTCATGAATTTTAAGTGGCACTTAATTTTAATTTGTCCGTCGAAGATCGCGTAGATCCAGTGAAATGCTGCTTCGGAACTTTTATACTAGCTTCTGGACCGGACACAATTTATCAACTTCGAGATTTTAGAACATTTACTTGTAATTAACAAAGTCAAGTCACAGATCCAGCTCATTATGATTGTGCTCAGAGGAATTGTTTAATATAATACCCAGAGCCACTTTCTACCATCGTACGGCTCGCCATCGACAGGGAGTTCATCCTCATGTCCTACAGTCTCAATGGTCGCGTACTGCGCGGTCTCAGAGATGTTTCCTCTCACGAACACTCAGGCTGTGGAATGAACTCTCTGCCGAGGTTTTCCCAAGAGACTACAGCATGGGGTTCTTCAAAAGGGGGGTAAATAGGTTTCTTTAGGGTCGGCAACGTGCGCGTAATATTCTAGTATTGCAGATGTTCATAGGCTACGGTAACCACTTACCATCAGGTGGGCCGATGCTTGTTTGCTACCTCAGTGGTATAAAAAAAATGAAGCGCTTTTATATTTTGTAGTAACAAACAAATTATAATCATCTTTTTTTATCAGCTTTTAATTGCCCATTGTTAAAAATAAGCCCCCCCTCCCCTCCTATGGAGGTTTTGCTAGTAATTGCCATGCTTAACAGGCTTTGATTTTTGATTGATAACCTCAGTTAGGATTTGGAGATATTTTAAAAAGGACGCTGCTTCCCATCTCTCGCCCTCCCTTAATCACCTCTTTCGACACCCACGGGGAAGAAAGCGGTGGCCTATTCTATGCTAGAACCACACTGTGCAAACAAACAGATTATGCTTCGTAGAAAAAAAAAATGTTTACTTTAATTAAGTTAAAATCGTAATTCAGTAAGGCGTAAGGATTTAGATTAGAAGTAAATTTAACTTCACAAACTAGAAACATGACTCATTATCATTGTAGACACCTAAAAATCATCTATTTTTCTATATCACTGATAATTAATAATGAAATTAAGAACTTACTTCCTAAAATAATAGCTATGTTGATTACATTTTTTTTCTAATTAGTGGATATGGGAATAACCCATGGATGTAAATAAATTAATGTAGGAAGTATTATCAAAAACGATTTAAGATTGAAAATATCACATAGTATGTAAAAAAAAAATTGAAGAAAACTGAGATTCTGCAACTGTTTCTTATTCATTATCCATAGAAATATCCTTCATGTATATTTGGACCATAACATTATAAATAAGTTGAACTAAATCCAAAAATATTAATTCTATTGTTACAAGTACAAACTTAATATTGAAATTATTTGCAATGTCTACGTACTAACTAATAACTTTGTTTAAATTATTGATTGCTTTTTTATTTTAAAAATAGTCGTTTAATTTAATAATGTTTATTTGGTCAAGGTTATTTAAACGTTTGTTACGTAACTGTGTGAAAGATCGGTTAACTTAAAATAAGATTAATGATAACTTTTTATTTTATGTTAAAATATCACGCCATTCGAATGCATAAGTGGGTAATAGTACTAGGCC